TCATGCAATAGAGATGGCACAACATCTATCCCGGATATATATGGAAAATATCATTAAAAATACCAGGAAGCTAAGCTATGTAAAACGAGTTAGAAAGTCATATGAATGCAATGAATGGTACGAATGTGAATATATTATATTAAATAAACTTAAGCAATATGGAAATATATTCTACCATAGTGCCCAAATTCTACTCTTACATTAGAATATTTGCATGCTGGCTCTACTTGGTCGTGATTTCAACAGATAAGTTAACAATTACATTCATATATATGTATCATAAATTCCAATACCTCGCGTGACTTAGCTTTATAAAACACAATTTATTACTCAAGTATTGGTTTATAGGGAATTGGTTGATTGGTTAGAGAATTTCATCATGAGCTGACATTGGTTAGAGAACCATTGGAAAACCTGGGAGTACTGGAGAGCTGTTTCGTCCTAGTTTAGGACTATTCAGAAGCACGCCCCCATCGATGTTCGAACCCAGGAACTTCTGGTTGCAAGGCGAGCTCGAAGACCATTTAGCTACTGTGACCCGATCCAATGACCAGCTCATGAGTACTAACTTCTGCCAATTCACGACACAGCGCGACAGCTAGCCAATGTCTTCAGCGACTATTTGTCCTCACACCTAACCTGCTGCACCCTACTGCTCACCACTTCCCACTAGAACCACAGGTAACTACCTACTTGAATAGGGTCAGTCGCTAGTGAGCATCTCACTGATATTCAAGCATTCGTTTGTAGAGATGTGAGGACAAATATTCGCCGAAGACATTGGCTAACTGTCGCGCTATATCGTGAGTTGACAGAAGTTAAAATTCATGGGCCATTGGATCGGGTCCCAGTGGCTTAATGATCTACGAGCTCGCTAGGCTTGTAACCAAAAGGTCCTGGGTTCGAACCCTAGCAGTAGGTGCTAACTGCTGAAGAATCCCAAACTAGGACAAAACAGCTGTCCAGTACTCCCAGGTTTTAAAATAGTTCTTTAACTATTGTCAGCTCATGATGAAATCCTCTAAACAATTTATTACTGATTATTTTGCCTTCAGAGTATTCACTTCTAAATGTATTTAGCTGAGTAAATGTTTATCTACATAGAAGTTGCTTTAAATGATTGAAGAAACAATCTTATATTTCTTTCGATTTGGAAAGTAAATACAATACTTATCAACTAACTTCAACTGATAGTTAAACATTAAGTAATTCTGTTTCAGTGTATTTTGCTAACATGTATTTATGGTTTTGTTAAGTAATCGGAAAAATGTAGTAGATTCTGATTAGCAGTGATGAATATTTCCGTGAATATAAAATATCACTTGTAATGGATTCAGATGAATCGTTAAATCTCTCCGTTACTTGGCATCAAATAGTGTGTGTTTGAAGTACTCCCGGCTATCTATGATGTGATATTATCTAAGCTGAAAGTTTTACTAGAGAAGCTTACATTTTCAGTCTCCTCATCAGTATTCTATAATCTGGTATATGATGACTGACAGTGTATCGTGGGGTATCTATTTCGTCCTATTTGAGACTCGTTAGGTGGGTGTAACTGCACCCCTAGTAAGTAATGAACGGTGTTCTGCTTAGACTCAAACCTACTGAAAGCTGTCGACAAGTAGATAACATCAAGTTAATCTTCAGATACCGTCAAAACGCTCATACTAGAAGCCGAAATGTAGAAAAAGACCGAGTGTTTCAGGAAATAAAAATTATCATGTACCTGAAGAATCAGACTGTCATGTAGTTTATTGGTATAGCGCCAATCACCATCAACGGGAGGGATTTGAAAGTGGTTACTTCATTCATTTATCTAGCATTGAGCATTGTCTCATCTAAAGGAGGAACGGACGAGGATGTCAAATCGAGCGAGAATCGAGAAGGTGAGCGAGAAACACATTCATCAACCTGAAATCAATCTGGAAATCTTCGTCACTCAGCCTGCATCAACAACAAAATTCGGTCGGATTTTCAAGACAAACGTCAAGTCAGTCAATTCTTCTATACGGATCAGAAACTTGGCGGGCGGGTCACAGAGAATATTTCCAACAGCCTGTTGCAGACCAGACCTTTATCAACCACTAACTGTCTTCGCTGGATCTATACTGAAGATCAGATGGCCGGGACGGGCCGGAAAGAATCACCAACAAGAAACTATGGCTGGGAACAAACAAAACAAGAACAAAACAATCGCCCAACAAATATGCAGGAGAAAGTGGAGGTCGATGGATTGGACACTCGCTGAGGAGGCCGCTGGGTGACATCGTGCGCGCGTCAGGCCATTGCTCAAGTGGAACCAGGCCGAAAGGGAAGCGGCGAGTGGGACGTCAGTGCAAGGGTGACATGGAGGAGATCGTGTGAAGAGGAGTTGAAACGGTGTGGACTAACATGGATGCAGGTGAAAAGTACAGCAGAAGACAGAAGGAAGTGGAGACGTGCAGTTGAAGCCCCATGTTCCACTAGGAACCCAAATGAACAATAATAATAATAAAGACTTGATATTTGTTTGGTTATTCACTTTGTATATTAGTGAAACACATGTCACAGAGGCCTTCAACCAGAAGATGAGTAGAATTCGAGTCGGTGATTTTTTAAAAATTTGACTTTGAGAGTGACTAATTTTGAAAAAAGTTCATTTGTAGTGCTTTTTTTCTGTAGGTCTAAAAAACACTTTCTCGGAAAGTTCTATAAACAATACCAAAGAAGACCTAAATGATGAAATCTAGAATGGATAAGTTGTAATTTCAATTGTTAGATATTCATCACAATTCAATATCATTTAGACAGATGACTGAAAACCAGGGATTACTGAACACTTGTTTCATCAAATTTTTAGGACTCTTCAGTAGTGTGTACACACAGCACCACCATGCAGTGAACTTGAAACCTTCAAGTTACTAGATGAAGTTCGTCGATCATTCAGATCGTGATATAGTACTGCCCAAAACAATGTCTTCAATTAGCATGCATTCAACCTTGATATGGTATACCCAACTAATTACGAATTCTCACTGCACCTGCAAGAAATCCATTCAGAAACCGTCAGTGAACTTCTGACTGATATTCATACTATGGGATTTGTGAGGTTTTCTGCGTTCACAGGTCACTGAATCCCAACCCATGTGGTTGAACGGTCAGTGACCCTGGTCTCATAACCTGAAGGTCCAGGGTGCGATGCCTGGTTGTTTCGTGCGTATTCGCTGTGAGAAGTCCCAGAGCAAAACAGGACAGTTGTCAACTGCTTTGCGGTTTTCATTGACCTCTATAACTGATTTCAGTCTGTCACGAACATCAAACATTTGACAGTAGTCCAAAAACTCCACAAATCCTATAATTTAGATGATTTTTAAAAATAATAATAGTATCTTTCGAGTAATGGTTTTTTAAGGATTTTGTTTGATTGGTTGGATGTTTTCATCATGAACTAACATCAGTTAGAAAATCATTGGAAAATCTGGGAGTACTGGACAGTCGTTTCTGTCGTCCTAGTCTGGGACTCTTCATCAGCATGCACCCACCCAAGGTCAAACTCACGACCTTCTGCTAGAAGGCTAGCTAGAAGAACGTAAAACCTCTGAGAACTAATCTAATGGCCCATAAATTCTAACTTTCGCCTTTGCACGACATAGTGCGACAGCTAGCCAATGTCTTCGGCGAGTATTTTTCATCACACCTGACCTGCTGTACCCTACTGTTCACAACTTCCCATTGGAACCCCAAGTAAATAGCCACCTGAAGAGGGTCGTTCGATAGTGAGCATCTCATTGAAATTCATGTGACTGAACATATCTTTATTCTGGACAGTCTTTATGAAGTATACAGTATTTTCAGAGGAGTTTGTTGTATGATATTTTTCCTTCTTAGAATATCTTCAAATAAAATACTAATTGACAGCATATCCTGTGACACAATGGTCTCTGACCTGAAGCACAAACCTGAAGCACCACTCCATTATGATATATCTGCTTTGTCTCCTTCAAGAAATCCACGATATCTAGTTGACAGCTGATTGTAAGATGTTCAGAAGTACACTTTGAAAACTAAGTACATAACTATAGAACAGTTCTCTCATGTGTTGTGATATGTTGCCACCCACAATCAGGCTATTCCTCAAGTTTAATAGAACCCTACGAATCAGAACATTTTAAATACACACAAGAGTAAAATAATACCACTGTCGGTCTTATCTTAATCAAACAAACCGAATGAGAGAAAATGTGCGTAATAGAGAGATGGAAGTTTTTGGTAGTTTTAAGCAGGCCGCCTCATAAGATAACATAAAATTACAAGTGACCAGATTCATTTGAACTGAAATAATAATGGATGTTACTTTTCAAGGTTAAATATATGAATATAGAAACCACAGTGAGGTAACTCTGTACTGTATAAAGATGGAATGTATATACGCTAGTGCTATCAGTTCTTGGCCCCGTCACCAAGCGTCTTCTATGATTCTTCTTCCAAATCTCAGTAACTTCTACCATTAGAAGGAAATAACTTAAACCGGTATAACTTTTGGGGGGTTACAGACTAGTTTAATGATATAATACACAGTTTAAATCGTCCGTCTGTACAAAAAGAATTAGTACTAGCATAGTCGAACATGGTGAAAATATGATGTAATCTTGGATATTCAAAGAAACCTAGGTTGATGTATATCTTGTATATCACTTGCATATGAACTCTAACAAGACCATTATGTAAAAATCTGTTTGTTGAATGTTTGATTTCATGATAAAACGCATAAGAAACAAACAACTTTTTGTCATATCAGTTATATTTCAATCCAATGTTATTGCCATTGTTTCCATTATATATCGTTCAAGTTAGCATGAACAGGATAAACATTTTCTTTCTAAAAATCATACACAAAGTAAGCATGTACACACATATGATTCACTCTACTCACTCCAAATGGTCATTCATTCATTGAGGAGCACTAGACATGTTATGCTTTTGCTTCTAAGCATCAATCATTGAAATAAAAGAACCTTTTATACAGTATGTTTATATTATCTCTTCACATATATACATGTATGTAAGGCATGATGGGGCAACCAATGTAATATGGAATGCTTTTCATCTGCATATATAGCACTCTCCAACATGTATATAAATTATTCTCATCATTTATCTTTATAGTCGTTGAACATTTTTGAAAAGCGCGCAAGTATTGAACATTATTGAACAAACCATACATTGAAACTATTCAAATTTCAATTATATAGGAATGATAAATAAAAATGTTTTACAAATTACAACGAAAAAAACGAAAATGTAGAAATAAAAACAAAATAATATCCATCTGTTCGTACATTCATGAAACCAACAAAGGTTTTGAAGTAAGAAACAGATTTTTTTTTTTGAAAATGAATATACAAAATAGGATACGAAATATATTCATTGTTCAATTTAGATTACATTATTGTAAAATAAAAGAAGAAGCATTTCACTAGCATTAGTATGCATTCAGTTAAACCTGTATAAATAAACAGTACATTCCTAGTACTCAATATTAATATATCTTGTTGATAGTATATACTTGATAAGTAAGTTGGATCATTTCTTTAGATTGCAAAAAGATCCCCGTACAACTCAGTCGGTTGATTGTGTTGCTTTTAGCTTTACAATTTTAATTGGACGATCACTACTTTTTGGTTCATTTAAAAGATGACAAGTAGAATTGATAAATTTATTCTGTACAGCTGATAAAACTTTATTTTTTTCTAAATTCTGTTTAAATGATCCTAAAAATTAAATGAATATTTTATTAATGAAGAATTATGAATCATTTTGAGTAAAGTGAAAGAATACAGTAAAAAATGGTAGAATTTATAAAAAAATATTTTAACTATTCGTTTCACATAAACTACTAGATTTTTCCATAGTTGGATGTAATTATTATTATTATTATTATTATTATTATTATTATTATTATTATTATTATATCCTTTAGTTCTTAGAGGAACATAGGGCTTCAGCTGCGCATCTCCATCGCCTTCGGTTTTCTGCCAACCTTTTCACCCAGCTCCAAGTCTGCCCACATGCTTTCATCTCCTCTTCAATTAACCTCCTCCAAGTCACCCTTGCAGTGACGACCAACTCGCCGCTTCCCTTTCGGGTTTCACTCGAGCTATAGCTTGTCTAGTGATGTCACTTCATGGTTTCCTAGGCGTATGATCAATCCATCTCCATTTCTTCCAACCTATTTGTTGCACAATCGGTTCCTGGTTGGTTCGCTCATTGCCAGAGATTCCTGTTGCTGATCTTTTCTGGCTGGCCATCTGATCTTGAGTATTGAGCAAAGACAACTGTTAATGAAGGTCTGTAGTTTGTTTGAGATGCTCTTTATGACGCGCCAAGTCTCTGATCCGTATAGTAGCACTAACTGACTTCACATTGGAGTTGAAAATTCGGATCTTATTTTTGATGCTGAATACTGATGACCTCCACACAGACTTCAGATTAATGAAAGCTTGTCTTGCTTTTCCGATTCTGGCTTTGATATCCTCGTCAGTTCCACCTGTAGTTGAAACGATGATATCCCAGGTAGGTGAAGGAGGTTGTTTCTTTCAGGTTCCTCCCATTTATCCTGGCTGATTATTGTCTGTTGTTGTTGCTGTTGGTGTTGGCCAGAATTCTTCATCACCTCTGTTTTATCTATGTTCACTTGAAGTCCTATCTTTGATGCTTCTTCTGCCAACTTGTTACTTTTCACTTGCATATCTTCCAGTTTGTGGGAAATCAGACATATATATATGTCATCGGCGAAGTCCAGATCCTCCAAGTCTTTTGTGTGAGTCCATTTTATGCCTGTTTCCTCATTGCCTATTGTCTGTCGCATTACCCAATCTACTGAAATCGGGAAAATCATTGGCGATAGTAGACAGCCTTGTATCACTCTCGTGTGAGTTTGTAAGGATTAGTTTTATTTTACGATGTGATTACGGATTGATATCAATTAGAGAACCATTGAAAACCAGCACTGGAGTACTCGACAGCTGTTCTACCCTAGCTTTTGGGAATCATCGGCAGCAGGTACCTACTGAGGTTGGAACCCAGGACCTTCCGGTTACAAGGCAAGCTCGTATATACCATTTAGCTACTAGGACCCGATTCAGCGGCCCATGAATTCTAACTTCTACCAATTCGTGATTTAGCGCGACCACCAACCAATATCATCGGTGGGGCATCCATCCTCACATTTGATATTGGTTGGTGGTAGCGCCAAATCACGAATCAGAAGAAGTTAGAATTCATGGGCCACTAAATTGGGTCCCAGTGGCTAAATGGTATATGAGCTTACCTTGTAAACGGAAGGTCCTGGGCCCGAACCTCAGTGGGTGCGTCTTCTAGTACTCCCTGGCTTTTTAGTGGTTGTCTAATCGATGTCAGCTTATAGTGAAATCCTGTGAAATGAAAAAGCTGCTAAGTAACGCTTACAGTTTTCTTACCGCTTCTTGAATTATGTCTCTCTAAAATAATTCTTGTCTCTTTTGGATACAATTTCACTGGTAAAGAATTAACATATTGATACTGACGATTATTTTTCTGTTGGTGACCAGTATGACTGTATATTTGACATAGAAATGGCTTTTTTGATTCTTGTAATTTATAAACAGTATACGTTTGATCGTCAATGTCATAATCTTCGTCACCATCATCACCATCGTCATCTCCAACATCATAGAAATCAGCAGAATTAGAGAAATTATCACTTCTGTTATACTGATCTGATAAAGGTTTAGTTAATCGTCTAAGATCATTCTGATTATTGTGTTGCTTTGGTGAAAGGTTATACGTTTGATTAAACTTTACTTTATGAGGCAGACATTGATCAGTTATTGCCGCTGTCGCTGCTATTGACGATGATGACGACAGAGTAGATGATGTTGAATATCTAGCAGAATTTGTATTTCTTATCCAATTAGAATCACACGATGCTGTTTTTGGAACAACTGGTGTTTTTATCAATTTTTTATTATTACTTTTGTAGATATTTTCATTTGAATTAGTCATACTACTACTGTTACTAATAATAGATGGTGAATTTGTTGAATATTTTTTATATAATAAAATATCTGAAGTTGATGATGACCGTTTTACTGGATGTTTTACTTTTCTAACATTAAAATCACTTTCAGTACGGTATGGTTTTAAATTGCTGCATTGAATTCTTTTTTCTTTGGTTAGTTTAACAAGATTTCCACAGCTTGATCTAATACGCCGCTGCTGTTGCTGATGATGAGGCTGTCGATAAGATGGTTGTCTGACAGTGAACATTTTACCTGGTGGAGTTGGTGGTTTATCTAGTGAATATACCTCTTGACTTGATTGAGATTTTATTATCTCACTTTGACTTTCATTATCATAACTAGTTGGTGTAATTGATTGTGTTTGAATGGAGCGTTTTTCAGGTCTGTTAGTATTTCGAAGATTGTTTTGTCTCTCTTGAGAATTTTTAGAATAACTTTCACTTTGACGAAATAATGATGATGGTGAGGTGTCAATTCTATGATAATGATACCTGGATGAATGACGAGAGTCTTGGTTTATTGATGATGCGGGTGTACTGGTTTGTGTCCAGAAGACTTGATTGGATTTCGGTGTATATTCTGTAGTCATTAAGTGTATTCCTCTGAAGAGAATAAGGAAAGGAAATGAAGCGAAACATAAGTGTACTAAATTTAGTAAATTTTTTGAATCCGAAACACGAAACTTAGGAAATGCATTTGCAGTTTTAGCTACACAATATGATATAGTTTATACTGGTTATGGGAAATAAGAGTAACTGAGAGATAACAGGGTAAAAAAGATGACTTCAATGAGAAGTTATCGCTACCAGTGTCGCAGTTCAACTTTGCTGGTTGATAAATAACTCTTCTGTTTACCGGTTTACTCAGGTCACTTATGAATTTAAAAAATTTGTATGCAATCGAGAACTCCATTAACCTGCAATTATTAGTGTCCTCTGAGCTGGTTGGCTTGATTGCGGAGCTTTCATCATCCTTCTGGACAACATCTTCAGAGCAAGTTTCAGCATAGTCGTAGTCGATTAATACAGATGTAAATCGACTACCAGTCATGAAGATCGTTACCGGGAGAGACAATTCTATCATTCATGGAGAATTAACATCAATTCGCTTTATGCCGTAACTTGTGCTGAAGATATTGTCCAGAATGACGACGAAAGCTCCTCAATTAAACTAACGAGCTCAGGGAACACTACTAATTGCTAATAATCCACCTGAGCTACAAATCTTCTCTATTAGTTCAAAACTCCATTAATCATTTATAAACATTTGGTAATTTTTCTTATAGCGAAAATTTCCATTTGGAAGAAAGAAGGCTTGAGCAAAGAATATTCTTTTTTTAGATTACATATATATTTGGAGTAACTGTTGTTGAACACATTTTCAAGCGTTAGTTTGCAGGGATTTAATTGCTTCCAAGTTAGGTAACCACTGAAGACCATAGAGCGCTGGACAGCTGTCCTGTTTTTGTTTGACATTTTCCAGCAGTACGCCCCCATGATCCAACCGGATGTCCAACTTAGGGCCTCCAGATCGCGTGACAATCTTGTTGACCACTCAGCCACTGGGATGGAATTCAATGGCACATGATTTGTAACTTGAAATTCTAGGGATTGAAGATTAATTTCATCCTCACTGGTGACTGATTACAAGATAAAGCTGCCTGGATTTCTAATGAGAAGTCGCGACCAGTGGGGTCCATGAGTTCAGGTGTGATGACAAATAATTGCCAATGAGGTTGGTTGGAATTGGCATTGAAAATCGCAGACTGACAACATTTTTGTATTTTAAGCAATATCGAGTTGTTAATATCGAAAAGCACGTGAAAATGATGAATTACATAAATATGATATAAACCTGAATGTTAAATAAAGTTAACAAGAAAACTATTGCTGTAATTAAAGATGTTTAAAACAATAATAACTTGTCAGTGTCTTAGTGGAAAAGAGATATTATCAAAATTTTACAGACAAATAATGGTGACGAAAGTGCATCAGTGTTTCAGCGGTAGAAGGCTTGTCAACCACACACGTGGTCGTAGGTTCGATCCTCGGCCTAAGCCTCCTTAATCCTGTAGTAAGTCCTATAAACAGGGAAGGTTAGGCATGAGGCTAGCAACCCTACCCTGTGAAAATAAAATAAAACCACTGCCACCAAAACTTCAAAGATCTAGCCTGAAGTCCTACCTTCCAGCGGGAACGTAAAGGAATAAAAAATGATGGCAAAGTTAAGAAAACCGTCTGTACGAATTTCTTTGAAATACAAATATTCGTCTTCTTTAGATGAATACCAGTGGCTTCGGTCGTATGCAAAAGACGAACTCATAAGACAATATTAAGGTTATCTAGAAAAAGATAGATCACTTTCACTGCTCTGTAAACATCGACTATCTACAAGATGAGCTAAAATGGAGCTAGGAATAGACCTTATTCGTCCATTGCTTAACCATGAAGGATGATGTTATAAAAAAACCACCGATGAAAATGCCTAGTTTTGAGGCCGTTGTAACTATATTCACACAAGCGGTAAAACTGGTATATACACATAGAGGTGACAAAGTGAGGTAGTTTGGCTTTATTTCTCTAAAGCAAAATTTACCACCAAGGCAAGCTAGCATGTTGACAGTTTCGAGGAATCTCTTGTTCTTAATACTACAGTTGTATGAGGATAACGTATATATATATATATATATAACCTTATATTTAACTGTAGGACCTAATGAGGAGATTACCTCTTGCTGAATAAGTTTGTCATCCTGATTTTCATTGTTGCATACCAACGAAAACGGAAACATAAAAGTAGCATTTTTCCACCATAGTAGAATATGACATTAGATTCTTCATGAAATACAGGAATATCATTACATCAGCTAAGTGATGTTTAGTGAATAATTCATTGAAGGTAATTATTTGAAGCTAATCATGCAATTTTCTAACTTACTTTATCTAGTTTAGATGTATCAACCTTCTACACCAATATTCCTATTAATGCAGCTCTGAAAGCAATAGAGAAAAGGCTGACATTCATCCTATGCGCATATAAAGCAGTAGGGTACTGGTCGCAAAAATTATGAGAGATGTTCAGTTACATTTGACATGTTAGGACACGCCAATAGTACATGTATGACACCTTCGTCATAGGTCACAAAGATGCTGACTTATCATATAATATCACTGTGTCATCGATTATTGCCCGGTTTATTTTATCTTTATAAACCACTTCTGAGTAATTGTACCAGTTATGCCTTACACATCGTGTTACTTTATAAAATAAATTAAATAATGAATATAATTATGATTGTACAACGTATGAACATGACTTAATCGATAAAGAAAATAATCTGCATTGAATTATATTTCATCATCTTTACAACTCAGTTAGTATTTTCGGCCTTTATATGTGATTTTTGTAGTAATGAAATTTAAAGATAAAATATATAAACAAATAAATGGATTAAAAAAGGGATGATCCACCTTCTTATCAACAGCAGATATATTTATGGATAGGTGAGTATCTAAGACTAACAGAACGACTTTTGCTCCTCCCCTATAATAGGATGGAGGTACGCAGAAGGTAAAAATTTACTGTGTTGAAGTCTCAAACCATCAATAGTCTCTTCAAGTAGACAAACTTAATAATGAATAGAATTCAGATCCTTTTCGAGTTATAGGATGAAGAAGGTGAACTAAATATACTGGACTGTAAAATAAAACGAAATCTTGATGAAGTTGTAGGTTATAGAATCTATAAAAAACCTCACATTCATTAGAGATTAGAATAATAGATCCTGCCAAGAAATTACACTACAGGGAAACAGGAAGGCATTGAACTATATTCAAAGAAAGTTAGAAACTCATGAGAATCCGTTCATAAGGTTATGAACAGTAAACTGTGCTCAGAATATCATCAAGCTAGTAATAATGTAACTATGTGTTATATCAGATAACCCTCACAAACCAATAAAACGTTTGACTTAATTTTATATTCTTAGTTGATTTATTTTGTAAACCAGTGATAAGGTTGCGTCACTTTGCTAATACAACAGAGTGGATGGAAATTCGAATATAAAAGGAATCGTTAGTGAACCAAGAGGTGACACTAACGTACGAATATTTCAGACTTAGAAATCGTGAAGAGAATAGGTTGCCATAGCTGTTCAGTGTGGAATCAAGCTGTAATCAGAAATAATAATAAAATAGTAATAATAATGTGAATATATAAACCCACTTATCCTTGTGGAGCTAAGCATCATGATGAACAGTTGACGTGGAAACTTACAACATACAGTAGATTAAAATCAGTCGAAAAGTCCACATATATATATGTATACTTATATTAATGCATAAACAACAGAAACCTCGTTAGCTCACGATTTCAAGCTACGAAACCTTTGAAACGTTGTGAATTATCTCTTTGCTCACCATGGTGTTAATATGGTTCACTAAACGAAGCCATCTAACATTCAATATGTTTATTCATTATGAAGTGAAGATATGAATGTTTCTAACAAAAGTTTGCAATCTTTCGACAATGAATCGCTTTTTACCAATGTCCCACCTGAGAAAACGGTCTATTTTATATTGTGATAGATATATGATAACCATTTCAATATTGGAACACCAATAACGCATTTGAAAAAAAAACTGTTACTGAGGTGCACTCATGATGTACAATAATTCATTTTTACTAACATTATCTACAAACAAAAGGTTGGTATCGCAATGCGATCTCCCTTTGATCCATGACTAGCAGACTTTTTCATGCCAACCATAGAGGATGCTTCATTAAACTCGACAACTGACATAAGGATAAAACTTGTGCACTGTGGTAGAGTATAATTCCGATATGGATAAAAATTTTAGTTTGATAAAATTCCACAGTGTTATGCAGTAATATTTACTAATGACATTTCGAGGACAATTTGTTGCTCATCATCTTATCAAGGAACTCACACAACTGTCTTGCTTCATTTATATACTTGAGTAAAGATTGGTTAGATACAAAAAATTTTTATCCATAATGGAATTCGACCATAGACAATTTACAACTGCATAAAAAGTAGGTATATGACATTTTCACCACTGGCGATAATAGTCATGACCTAAGTCAGCTGCTACAGGAATTTAACAACTGCTAGTCGATAATAAAATTCACCCTCGAAATAAAAGGTGAGGCCAACGTTTACTTTTCTGATGTAGAAGTGACGAGAAGACCCAACTGAACCTTGAGAAGTTCAGTCCATGAGAAACCCAATTGAAACAGTCAACTGAGACGCCCCTACAATTGGGTGCGTGTGAAACGAAAACGAAATTTAATCACATCTCTCACCACTCACATTTAGTGCATCTGTAGTCCTGACAACCTAGAAGCAGAACAAGATCTTCTGAAAGAAATCCTCATCCAAAATAGATACTCGCCGAGATTCATTGACAAGAATATCAAACCGGAAGTTCATAGAAACGAAACACTACTTGTTCCAGAAAAAAAAACTGTACACCAACCTGCATTTCAAAGAAAAATTAACCTGCGATATCCTTAACAGAAGAATTCCATCACCTTTGAGAAGGATATTCTTCTGAGCAGAGCTAAGAGTAGTGTTCTCTAGTCATCTATTGGTCTGAAGATAACTTAAGAAATAGATCCCGCATTCTACCTTTTCTGTCTGCCTGTATCAGTTCACCTGTTGCTGAGGTGCTAGGTACGCTGGCAGTTCTTCATGTATCCTGTCTAAAAGGCTTCTAGAATACTATCCCGCATGTCTGTAGAAAGGCAGTAGTTGCTCTATAAAGATAGGGATAATACAATAACTTGTTAACACTGATCATTCCACCTCAACAAACGCCTCCTTCAAATTAATCTACAAAGCAGAGAGTGACCTGTCCAAGGCAATATACTTTCATCTCCTTTTCATTGTTGAAGACCTAACCATTCAGTAATAAAGTCCAAAGTTATGCGTACAAAGAAAATTATTCAACCACTTCTATTATAATGATAAACAATCCTGTTCATTTGTTTGCTTGTCTTTTTAACTCCTTATAGCTGTTATATTTCTTTTAAACTCCTATATAATACCATATTTTCCTTTGTTTCAGTGTGCTTCCTGACTAAAACCCATGAATTCAATTATTAATCTCATTACGTAACTTCAGTACATTGGCTAATATAAACAACTGCTCGTAACAACTCATGACTTTTGTTACTACCTTTTTCATGAAAAAAAACTGTATACAAGTGCTATTATACACCGAAAATAGCCTCTTCGCTGAACTACGTGTTTTGTTTTCATTGAGGTGAATCTTACTCCATTTTGTTGTGTCTCATTCTGACGGTTGAACGTATTATACATTCTTCAACAACTAGTGAAGATTATAAGTGTGAGCCATAAAAAGATAAAACACAAACAGTTTGTTAATACTGAAGAATCAATAATTGAAGTTTTTAATTGTTGGATGGTGGCTAGCAGTGGAATCCAGGATATGCATTTCGTCCTATTTGGGACTCGTCATCTGGATGTACCCGCATTTCTCAGAGGTGGCTCTCGTGGCCCAAGTGGTCTATTGGACTATACTTCGGCATTTTAAACTATGGGCACTGGGTTCGAGCCTCGGTGGGAACGTCATCACCAATTAAATACTGATTAAATGCCCAGACATAGTCGAAGCATTTGCACAAGAACCCGACATGTCAACCTGAGACCGAGCACTTCGGTCCAATCAATCGACGAGAAAATCTAAAATTCAATCAAAATAATTAAAGTTGTTAGGCGTCAGCTGACATAACCTGGAGATTTGACATACAAGTCTTCTTATCCCTTACTACAAAACGCTGTTGTAGATAGGTTGGGATAAGTTTACGAGAAGTTCAAATCATAAAATCATTGATCAATGAATAATTTTTTTATTTATCTACTTATTACTTTTCACTTGCAGTGTGTATATAAGGACTAATAACTCAGATGTATTCAAGGGTTGCTTTGTAGGGATTTGATTGGTTACAGGATTTCATCATGAGCTGAAATTAGTTATAGAACCATTGGAAAACCTGAGACTACTGAACAGCTGTTTCCATCGTCCTAGTTTGGGACTCTTTATCAGTACGCATCCACCGGGACTCGAACCGAGGACCTTCTGGTTACAAGCTTCCTAGTTCTCCAATGGTTATCTAACTAGTGTCAGCTAATGATGAAATCCTGAAACTCAGATGTATGCTGAATAAACCTTAGCTATGATTTCTCAATATATAACTACTTTTGACAAATATTTGATGCTTTGCTTACAATTCTTTATGAATACCCATAAAGCTAAATGATGGAACTTCTCGCTTAAATTCTGTTTTGTTTTTTTCAAACTTGTTTTAGTTCTCATTATATCCTTCCTAAATATTTTGTAATTTTACTCTACTGACAAAATTGTTTAAATCCACTATAAAAAGATTGATATTATTGTGATAACCTTTTTACATAAACTGACAGTCAGTTATTTCAGTATGATAGCTAACTGCCTGTGTAGTGTAGAGAGAGATAATTCCCCTAAAAATTACTAGTCTATGGCTTTCACTGTTTTCTTTTTTGACTTGTTAAGCTGAAGGTAAGCGGTCAAACATCAGTGACATTTAGTATGTTATCCTGTGACATTCAGTCGTTCTTGCACTCGCATTTGGAGTACTGAACAATAAATTTGTACAGTTTTACTATCTGTTAAAAAGATGGACACATTGTATATAACTTTTGTTTTCATCGACATAGTTGTTAAAAATATAACTTTCACGTTTGAATGAAAGTATATTGTTGCACTGTTCCTCGCCTTGTCTTCTTACTGGTTGTTATGGTCTACTTGCTCTGCTAATCCAGGTGTTGTATTCTTTGAAACTTAGAGGAATACCTCATCCTCATCCAAAGGACTCTTCATCAACCCGTGAGCAACTTCTGACAGTGAACACAACGCAGGGATGAAGTGTATCTGTAAATTATTTAATTCAATTTCCGATTTTCTTGTCGATTTGATTTGCTCGGTCTCAGGTTGACATGTCGGCTTCTTGTGCAGATGCTTCGACGATGTCTGCGCAAGCAATGAGAAGTTAATTGGTGGATGGTGACTAGCAGTGGAATCCAGGGTACGCACCCAGGCGTCGTCGAAGCATTTACACAAGAAGACGACATGTTGACCTGAGGCTAAGGACTTCGATCCAATCAATCGACGGGAGAATCCGAAATTGAATTAAATAATTGTTATGAAGCATTGCACAAGAGGTGTCCAAGTGGTCTAATGGACTACGCTTTGGCATTTGAAACTATGGGCACCGGGTTCAAGCCTCAGTGGAAACATCATCGGTCACTGCTGAGTCCGAGTACATTCAGATGACGAGTCTCAAACAGGACGAAACGCGCATCCTGGATTAAATTGCTAGTCACCATCCGCCAGTGTATCTGTAATTTATGTTTATAATTTGTAGAAGTGGACTATAAGTATATTTCCAAGTAATCATTACCCTTAGTAACTCATTTACTCGTATATCTATATAAACCGTCTCAATATTTTTGGGTTTTTATTTTGATATTCCATCAACTTACTCAGCCCCAACACACTTTCCCTAGTCAAGGAGAGACCACCGCTTAAAATTTTCAATTTCTTATTTTGGACGATTAGCTTTTTCAAGTATTGTTTTTGTAGGGATTTTGTGTGATTGGCTGGAGGATTTCATCATGAACTGAGGGTACTGGACAGCTGTTTCGTCCTAGTTCGAGATTCTTCTTCGGAACGCTTCCACCTGGATTAGAACGCAGGACCTTCTGGTTACAAGGTGAGCTCGTAGACCATTAAGTCACTGGGACTCAATCCAATGGCTAGCCTATGAATTCCGATTTCAGCCAATTCACGACATATCTAGACCACTTCGCAATGTCTTCTTCGACAAGTAACTGTCCTCACCCTCACCCTGAGGTTTCCTACTGTTAAAGGCCTCCCACTAGAACCCCAGGTAACTGCCTTAATAGTTTTTTTGTTTCTGTTTTGCTTCTAAACAATTATCCAGTCTAAGTAGAACAAATACATTGGGAGATGGAAGATATACACTTTCATTTGTACGTAAGCCCTTCTTGCATATCCGTCAGCACCCTTCATCTACTAAAATAGAAGTATTTCTGCATTTGTCTCAGTTGTTGTCAGTGAACAGGATTATTTACGCTAAATTATCTGTTGAGTTTGGCAAGTCGGTATTTCAGCAGTAAAACGATAGTCAACCACACATGTGGTCCGAGGTTTGATCCTCAGCCAGCGTACTCCTAAAAGTCCCTGTGACGTTAGTAAGGCCAGTGAAGAGAGAAGGTTGGGCGTGAGGTTAGCAACTCCATCCCACAAAAAGAAGAAACCCCGCTGCCGAAACTGTAAAGCTGTAACTTGAAACCCTATGTTTCATTCGGAACGTAAGAGAATAAAGACAATATTTTTTTCCAAAATCTAACGAGTATGATCCATGTAATATAAATGAAAGTACAAAGATTATTATTTAGAAAAAACTTACTTTTTACACAGATTGATCAAATAATCTAAACCTGTTTTAGAAACTCCAGTCATTCTACAAACTAAAGACATAATTTCAGGTGTTAATTCCCCTGACATAAGTGTTGTTTGATCTGGTAAATCTTTATCTACACTCTGATGAGTGAATGATTCACAGCATAGATTTTCATCATTTTCAGTATTATGATAAACAGTTAAAAATACATATTGAAGTATATCATAGTAATATACCGATGGTGAACGTGAACCCAGTGTTCCAGTATGTATATTTTTTTGATATGCTGTTTGAAGAAATGTTAACAAACGATATCCTTCTGATCCGTGTAGAGGAAAGATACATTGGAAATTACCTAATGCAGCACGATAACGTTCATCAATTAGATTAGTCAGGGTACGTAAGTCATCTGGAGTTAATTCTGACAACATATGACGTAGTGAATTAATGGGATCCTACAAAATAGCGACGAAAGAGAATACATATATACATACATTATTCAAAAATGAGTAAATTTTTAAGCTTACATTTCAATGACCAATAAATTTAGTGTTTGCTCAGTGTTGTAAGTATGCTGTTGTAATGAGTGCTGATAAGCAATAAACTGAGGAACACGGCTTACTGCTCATTCAATGACTTTCTGTGTCTTAACAAGAAATTTGCACATTCTTCATATACTGGAGAGTTAGTTGAACTCAACCTCTGAATCTACTGCACTACATAAATTCGTAGTTGATCTCACTTGATACGTATAAGCTCCTTACGTGACTCAAACCAACAGTCAGTGACATTGTTCAGTGGTATCGTGTTTTGGTTATATTACTTTTTCCTCCTTTCTACCTGAATCCTATATCAGTTAACAACATTTCTCGAAGAAGCCGATGATGCAGCATACGTAATACATGTAATCATCACCTCATTCGATGCGGCTTCACAACCTCATTGGTTGACTCTCTCTCTCTTCATATCTAATACTCTTCACCCAACCTCATTGTCACTGACTACTATGTTATGTCATGTAATACAGCAGATGGAACATAAACACCTAAAGTTAAAGATGGCTAATCTCTTCATACATCCTACTATCATTTCCCATGTCTTATGAACTTAAATGTAATTGAGAATAATATATTTATATTTAACGCAAAACTGAATGTGTAACCTTATGAGGGTTAGCCACTGAGTGGTTTAAGGAATAATTTCACTTTTATAAAATCCAATTTATTCTTTGGTATACTCCCTCTCGAAAACACTATATATTACTTCAAAAAGATATAAAAGTATCACAATAAATAATTTCTTTTGAAATTTTATGACTTTCCTTTTCATGTGGTTTGCTGTTAATGATTTTCTATCAGAGTGAACGCTAAAGCACTACTATTTATCACAATGATACACATGGATTAGCTTCTTATCATTCTGGTGATTCAAAAAGTTATTATTAGTCTAAAGTTTTGTTCTTCTTTCTCACATTTATACTTGTTAGCTTGAAGCGTAATTATTCGAACCTATACATTTCTGTGCATGATATTCTGATTTGTCCATATTATTTATTTTACTTTGTAATTCTCATACTGAAAGATTATCTGTATTATTCCCTTGAGTTCTAAATAGAATGCAGGACGTCAGCAGAGTATCACCATATTATCCTATTCTGTGTTATCTTATTCAGCTGGCTTCATGGTTCCTCAGAAACCGTCATTACTTTTTTTCACACAATCTCCTCCTTGTCATCCTCAGACCCACGCTCAATTCGTGGTTTTCGATTCAGGTTCCATTCAGAGACCTGGTGTTTGATGTCACTGACCATCTCTTCAGACTATGTCTAATCCAATTCCGTCTAGTGAACACTCGTTGAATAATAGGGTAATTGACTACCTCGCTTCACTACCAAAGTTCCTTGTTGCATATCGTTTCCGACCAGCTGTTTTATCTTCATTACACAACCGGAGAAGGAGGATAAATCCTGCTGGAAATGTTTTTCGTAACGCCTTGAGTCTCAGAATCATAAAGAACCATTGATTTGACATTATTTTCCATAATCTGAATGTTCTTCTTAATACTGAGGGAAGTAGATTTGCACACTGAATTCACATTAATGAAGTACCCTCTTACTTTCCCGAATATGACTAGCTATGACATCCACATCCGTGATACTAGTGGTATTTGAAACGATGATGCCTACACAAGTGACAGAACTGAAAATTTCTCTCGATGATAGTAATTATTGCTTGTTATAATGGTTAATTAAGAATCTTCCTATCTCAACTCGAAACGTTCCACTAAGCTTTCTAGTGTAAATCCTCTAGCGTTTAACATCACCATGCAACTATTGAATTTAGTATACTGAAAGATACCTAATATTTGGTTACAGGATTTCATCATGAGCTGACTTTGGTTAAAGAACCATTGGGAAACCTAGGAGAACTGGACAGATGTTTCATCCTAGTTTGGTACTCTTCAACACTACTCACTCACTGGGGTTCGAACCTAGCACCTTCTGGTTACAAGGCAGGGTCGAAGACCATTAAGCAACTGGGACTAGAATTCTAACTTCTACCTGTCCGATACTCCCAGGTTTTCTAATGGTTCTCTAACCAGTGTCAGCTCATGATGAAATCCTGTAACCAATCAATCAAATTTCTACAAACCAATGTTTGAATAACTAATATTTATTTGAATATGGGCAAAAATGGAATTTCGTAGTCTACGGGGTAAAGTTAAACATCACAATGAATGGACTTCATCTGTAATTGTTTATAAATATTGTTTATATATGATATCACAGTTTATTTCTGTTGTCTTTTGATGTAAGCAATGGTTACCAAGATAGTAACTTGGCTTGAAAACATTTATAGTAACTTGGCACTGCCACAGTATACACATATTCAAAAGAAACACTAGCGTCAATAAAATGAACGCTGACAATAGATTTTTAACGGAAATTCATTTTATCTTGTTCAGCTTGACTTAGTGCAGGATCTGGCAAGTATTCACGTCGATAAATGCACTTGTACGTGTAAGTAATATTTGACATCTTACAAAAAACTAATAAAAAATAAGTTTTTCTATAACCTCCCATTTCATTTTAATTTCATTCATGAACCTATGACGTCAAATAACATAATAGGTTGTTGAATATTGAACACTGTATGCTATGGGGTTTTATACCGACCTCTTTTTTGCTTTTCAGTAAGTAGCACGTGTTTTAGTAATACACAAAAGATTTTCGCTATGTTAGCTCTTGACTGAAGGATGTCCATATTATGTCATGTATCTGTCTAACTATCTATTCAGAGGTAGTCAATGATAGTGTGGAGTGAGAATGAACTCTTTACTTTTACTTATCTATGCAATATGCTTACACATTAGAATAAAACACTTCTTTCCATTCTCTCAGTAGATATAATTGTAATGTATATGTAAACTATTGATCATAACTGAAGGAAAATTCGATATAGAGACTAACTCACATTCTGTTGTCGAAACGAAAAATTGATTTAGTATATGCAGATCAGTTTCAAAGATTTTTATTTAATTTTGAAGTAATACCTATTACAGTTCAACTGTAAGCACTGCATCGTTTGACAACGAAGTATGTGTTTTTATTTGCTATCGGTGGGAAAATCATCACTTACTGAGATGCAGGTATAATCTAGCTGATGTGTTCTGAATATGACGAAAAGTGCATTTCATACACCACTGCCAACCAATGTTGTTAGATGTTTAGAGGAAATCAATAGAAAGTTTTGGATCTAGGTTTCGTGCTTGTTGATACTCCCCTGGAAGGCATGTCTACAGTCTTGAAGGAAATTATGTTTTTTTCTGAGACTCGAATCCAAGTCACCCAATGCTATAGTCGGAAATGTTACCACTGGGCTACTCAGGCTTGCAATCGACCTCCTGCAGGACTGTAAAGGACTAAGTGAATGACATTAAGTACTGCCTAGTGTCCAACCAAAACTGCTAGCTAATATTAACCAAATACTAGTACTTATTGCGAACCATAGATTGAGTCCTACGAGAAAAACAGTACTTCTTGGTTCATCAGTTAGAATTAAAAGCAATTCATGTAAACTACGAATATCTAGTTTTTTCATTACCAGAATGAGAGAAAACAAGCGATAAAAGTACACATCAGAAATTATTATTATTCATTTCTTCCATTCCGAGTAGAACATAGGACTTCATGAGCACACCTCCATTATACTGAGTTCTCTGACATCACTTTCAAGTGGCGTTACGACTTTTACAATCTTTCATTTCCTCTTCACATTATCTCCCCTGTGTCAACCTTTCGAGGTATGGCAAACAGTTTACAAATCGCTCGGGTTTCCCTCGACGGCCTGGAGCATGACATCACTTGAGGATTTAATCAAACTCTATCTCTTTTGAAAAATCTTTTTACCGGTAGTCTTCTAATTGCTCCACTACCACAGTTCTTCATTGTATATGCTTTCAGGACACCTGATCTTCAGTTCTCGGCGGAATTGGCTATTGATGTAAGTGTGCAGTTTTTTGAGTAGCCCATGAAAGAATATTTGAGTATAACACAAATCAGTGATAAGCAGATAATGAAATTTACCTTTGAATTATCTCCTGCATTCAGTATATTTTTCTTGTTAGATTTACTCAACTTATCAGAAAGTTGTCTTGTTTTATTCTGTGAACAAAAGAAGAGAAAAAAAAAGTACTTAATGCCGCCTTTTCATCAAGTCATTAATCATGACTTATGTTAATGGATCTACTTGTTATCTGTTTGCTTTGTATAAAAGTAACCATGTGAGAAATACTGAAATGTAATTAATCTCATGTAATGAAAACTAAAAGAAATTACAGGCACTTGACTTCAGTTATTCTTTCGCTTATATGAAACAGTCTAACTGTGAACCAATTATTAGGCCTAAATAACACAATCAAGTAATGAAAATTCTGTTCTCTTTAAACATATTTAAAACTAGTTTATGGATTGTACGTCTCACATGAACTGTGTTATTCATAGATGTAGGTTATAAAACAAGAATAAGAATGCTCAACATAATCATTATTTTCTAGAGTTTATTTAATTACCAGTGAAGTCCTGCTTATCAGCACGTTTTATGAATTTGTCAACTATTCGGAAAAACAGTTTGTCGATTAAAAAATGACCGGGAGTGGAATCTATGTTTCTGAGAAACTTACTAGAAGAAGAGCAAGTCTACTTCACAACAATAGGTATAGAAAACTTACAGAAAACTCTAGGGGACGGCATTATATGGGAGAAATAATAGTTATATGGAAAATAATAAAGACTTATTGAAAGTGAGAGGTTACAAAGAGTGAATGCACATGCGCTACTGAGAACGATTTTAATTCACGAACAGTCTCCAGTCATTAATAATAATAGTTTTTCCTTCACGTTCCCAGTGGAACATAGGGCGTCTAGCTAGTGGCTTGAGGATTCTGTAGCAGTGTTTATTTTTACAGGATCGGGTTGCTAGCCTCATGCCTAACCTTCCCTCTTCACCAGCATTATTTCCAGCTTAGCGAGGTAAAGGAGTGGGTCTGGCGGGGATCGAACCTCAGACCATATGCATGGTCGGGGAGCGTCCTAACCGCTGTGCCACCGACGCGAAAAATTCAATAGAATATACCGAATTAGAATAATAAGTAGACACCTATTCAATGACCACTAAGTTACAATAAAATCTTTTGATAAGAACAACGGTGATCATTAAGGTAATTATTTGTTTCAATATGTTTCAGATGGATTGTTCTGACGTTGACATTAATGACTGGATTTTAACAAACAACAGTGAAGCAGTTCAAGTTGCCACATCCCATTTAATACACAAAGTTAGACAACAGAAAAAACAGAAAGATATTCAGAGCAACTAGAATGAACAGATATGGCAGGGAGGAACAACACAACGATCTAGTGGAAATTGGAGATCACAAACAGCCAATAAATCTACACCATGGAGGACGGTTTTCAGCCATATTACCAACAGACTCAAAACACTGCTTCTTAGCATGCCGAGGATCCCAAACAGGCAGTCAGACAGTCCACGCCTCTCTCTACATGGCTCAAACCAACTTTCAAAGACTTCATGGATTGGTGACAGGTCAAAATTTCACCACTCCTATCTCTTTCCCAACCCAATCCTTTGTCAGGCATACTGCTCGACAAGGAATATGATACCTCGGTCTCCAGCCATTGAATCTTAATATTTCATCGATCCTAGCTAAACAGTCTGGTACGGCACTGGTTGAATAGTAGAATGTTTGCTGACCGCTCATGTGGTCCAGTATTCAATTCCCAGTCGGTGCACTTCTAAACCTTGCTAAGGAGGTAGTAAGCCTGTCAAAGAGGGATGGTTCCTTGTAAGGTTAGCAACTCCACCCTGTAAAAATAAAACCACAACTATTGAAACTTCAAAGCTCCAGTCTGAAGCCCTACGTTACACTCGCAAAGTAGAGGAATGACGAAAAAGCTAGGCAATCTACACTCCTCTACGTGGACGTAAACATCTGTCAGAGACATCATGGATTGATAACAGGTTTTGATTTAATAAACCTTAGCTGTGTTCCACACCAGCCGTACGTCAGTTAAAGTTTCTCGTCAGCGAAGGCGACGGAGCGGTATGCCCAACACATGTTCTGGCCTTCTCAACTGATGCACCTTATTGATGTCATCGACTGACTTGCCCTGATTCCTGTGGGCTTTGTACATGAAAAAGAGTCGTACTTAAATATTTGACTGACTGAAAATGAATATTATTTGCTTTATTTAAGGAATTATGCTATTGTAAAAAAGTACAGAAGTAACAGTTTTTATATGATTATTGGTCATACACGATAGTGACAGTTAACACGTTATATACACTGGTAATAAGCTATTCTTCATATTCCACTCATATTTCAGTTTATCTGAAATCTGGATCTTCTACCAGTTGATTTAGTCTAGAAGAGAAATCTTTGGGGATTTCTTTCTACTTTCTATTGCGGCAGGTCCTTTTCTATTGGTAGTAAGCCTTCTGTTACTGTGGCTGATAAGTATTTATTTGTTTCAAAAATATCTGCAGTGACTATTCCTTAATCATCAATAAATAACTGATTCTGCCGATACGTGATTTGAGAGCTAACACAACATGTAACTTAGATTATCAAAGAATAAATACACCTATCTGATCTATTTTAGTAACCAACTTTTTTATTAGAATAATTAGGCGAATTATTGACCGACAGCAAGGTTCTGAATGTTTATTCTTGAAGCCATGACTATGAGCAAGTGAAGCGAGGGAATCTAGTCAAACACACGGAATTCATCATTCAACAGACAAAGATAACTTCCTAGATACTTTCATAATAAGAAACTTTCACAAGTTTGTTAGGAAAAAAATAAAAAAAGGCTACTAAGGTTTTTGCAAATAATTTCAACTAACTATGTCTACACCAAATGCATAAAACACATAATTCGTTCAGTGGTAATAATCGACATAGAAGATCTGTATAATTACTCATAATAAATAATATTTATATTGGATAGCAAACAATAAAATGCCTTAACTGTTCAAGCATAACACAGCAGGACATCATTTTCATCCTCGTCTAATTTCTCATCTGCACGGAAACAAAATCAAGTCAAGTCTGTTACAGTTAGCCTTACTAAAAAGAGAGTCGTTCATTAATTTCAAACTACGCAATAAACGTCATTGATTTTTTATTGAAACTTATTTTAGGCGCCAAATGTTTGCTTTCAGTGGACAAAAAATAGTCGATCAATGTTACTTTATTTGATTCTAGAATGAACACCTGAATAATATCATCATTTAAATTTAAATCTGTCTGAGGAGTGAAATCTAGAGTTCACATTTTCATTTGTCTGAAATACGTTAACTAGGCGTCTGATGGTATTGACACTGAGGCACAAGCTCAATACACAAACTCAACTCAAAAAACTAAGTGTTACCAACTAGGACATTGAGTCATAGAAGTTACCTCTTGTGAAACAGGTATCTTTTTTTATTTGCAGCTTGATTCCACACTGTATTTTTGCTACAAGTATGGAATTTTCAGCATGAATATCGGCAGCCCAAATTTTGCAGGCCGACCATAGATATCAGGTGTACGTCGATAGGGGCTCGAACCTTGGATGATGTGCATGCTCGGCGAGAGTCCTAACCACTGTGCCACCGACGCACAGTTGTTATTTCTGAAACCTGTCAGTTTCCTGAATTTCTTCTGTTAACTACCAGTAATAATCAAATAACACTTTTGTTTCTTAAAAATTAAAATTCTATTGAGCCTGTTTAGTTTTGAAAATGTTTCATTAATCATGAAACAATCTAATAAAATGACTCAAAAGTATTTTGAAAACAAAAAATTCCATGAGCAAATGAAAAATAGTAATAAAATGAGATTAATTGTTTCAAAACATAGAATTAAGATGAATTATTCTGATTAACTAGACAGGACTAAAACAAATTTTAAAAAATTAAAGCTTAATCACGTAATCAGGGAAAAACAAGCAAAGTAAATCGAATGAAAATATATATATGTTCTTAACTTTAGAACTGAAAAACATTGTATAGATAGATCTATATCAGAGATATCGATCCTCAGTTATATCTCTATAATGTCTGTAAAAATGTATTTCCAAGAATTTGTCGTCTTTAGATAGCTAGCCTATAGTCTGCCTGAATAATAATAAGTGCACCCAGTTAAATACTTCACTAGTCCCATCCTGCTTAAAACTTGGGCTACTAAGAACTTCCATCTCTCGTTCGGTTTGTTTTAATCGATTAAGATATGACTTCTAATGGTATTATCTACTCTTGTGTGCATTTAAAATGTTTACAAGCCTGTGATTCGTAGGGTTCTACTAAACTTGAGGAAAGGCCTGATTGTGGATGGCAAAGTATTTCAATACATGAGATAACTGTCCTTAACTTATGTCCTTGAATCTCAAAATTTACTTCTGAACATCTTTCAATTGGCTTTCAACTAGATATCGTGAATTTATTGAAGGGGACAAAGCAGATATATCACAATGGAATGGTTTTTGCTTCACCAGCTCAGAGACCGCTGTGTCACAGGATATACCGTCAGTTAGTATTTTATTTGAAGATATTTTAAGAAAGGAAAATATCATGTAGTGGACCCTTCTGAAAATTCTGTACATTTCATAAATACCCTCCAGAATAAAGATGTTACTATTATTTTACCGTAAACTAAGTTGCATCATGCTTTACTACTACTACTACTACTCTTCCGAATGTCGTTTATCTAACGATGAACTAAGCTGACATATCAGTATGCCTCACCAATATGAACTAGGTTGAATATTCAGATGTCCATAAGGTGAGCGCCTTATCAGTCAAGCCTACTAACAAACTCAGCATGACTAACAACTTTCCTTAGAAAATGACTTTCATAACAATTATATTATTATTGTTCCTTTGGGTTCCTAGTGGAAAATAAGGCTTCAAATGCACGTTTCCACTTGCTTTTGTCTTCTGCTGTGCTTTTCACCTGCATCCATGTTAGTCCACACCGTTTCAACTCCTCTTCACACGATCTCCTCCATGTCACCCTTGCACTGACGTCCCACTCGCCGCTTCCCTTTCAGCCTGGTTCCACTTGAGCAATGGCCTGACGCGTGCACGATGTCACCCAGTGGCC